TTTATTTTTTTTTTTATTGCATTTTTGATTTTATTACTATTGTATTAGATATGCAATCAATGAAATTATTCACATTATGTGTGAAATTGATTTTTTTCTATATTTTTTTCTGATATATATATATAATTTTTAAAATTATTATGAAAAATCTTTAAAATTTACCATCAACGCGACGAATGTAATGTCTTTATGAGTGATGCAATATTATCATAGCTATTCATAGTCACATATGAGCAGACATTTCTGTTTAAAAATTGCTTACCGCGAGCACGCACGGTAGTCATTGTTTGCACCAATTGTTGACACTCTTTCCATAGTAATGGCCTGTAAACTGGGCCAACTCTATTTAGTTGCTTTCAAGGAAGCCATTGACATAATTTTTTTTTTTATTTGCGAGGCATTTAGAAGATAGAAGCGAGGAATATTTTTTTCTATGTTTAAACGATGAAAATTTGTTTCAGGGACATTCCAGTTTTATAACTCATTTGGATTGGTCAGCAGATGGTCAATATTTACGTAGCAATAGCGGCGATTATGAGGTATTATATTGTAAGTAAAGAGTTCCATATTCTTTCAATGTTTTTGCCATATTATGCGCTATTCGTATTAAATTATTCAAGATATTTAGATTAATAAGAGATTGTTATATCGATACATTATATAAAATAAAGAAATAGATCAAATTTTATTTTATTTTTTTGATTTTTTTTATTACTGGAAAAAATGCTTATTTCATTTTACTTTTGCCTATAGTAATTTCATTATTTTGACGAGTTAAAATAATTATTAAACAAATTTAATAATTTTTAAATATTTTTTTTTTAAATATTTCACATTTCACATTAAAATATCGTGAAATTTCTTTAAATATTAATAATAATAAATTGATTTAAAAGATACATAAGAAAAGAAAATATAACTAAAATTTTATGTAATATTTTAGGGAATCCCGGAGTCTGTCGTCAGATTCCACAATCATCGATAATGAGAGACATGCAATGGGCAAGTCATACCTGTGTAATATCATTCGAAACGATTGGAATATGGCCCGAAGGCGCCGATGGTACAGATGTAAATAATTGCACGAGAAGCAGTGATTCGAAATTGCTCGCAACCGGAGATGATTTCGGAAAAGTAAAGTTATTCTCTTATCCTGCTTGTCAACCAAAGGTAACGCTTTAAATTAACGCTGTTTAAGAAACTTAAAATAAAATATCAAGAATAACGAAAACACTTACGTTGAATTGCATTCGAGAGAATGAAATTTAAAAATTTATAAAAAATACATGTGAATGTGATTAATTCTCATTGATTAATTATACGATTGAATGATAAGTATGGAGAATATATAATTCTATATTTTTGATTTATTTTTTTATTCATACAGTTTTATAAAAAGTAAATATTTACAGTCCATAAGATTGGAAAGAATAATTATAATTTTACAATTATATTTTTGCGAAGAACGAAAAAAGAAAATACGTGTGAATTATTATAAATATATGATATATAATAAGTAATTTTTCTATTCCAGTCTTTATGCCACGCATACAGTGGTCATTCGAGTCACGTTACGAACGTTTCGTTCCTTCAAGACGACACTCGATTAATTTCCACCGGCGGAAGTGACACAAGCGTTCTTCAATGGATCGTAAACTATTAACTCTGTTATATAATTGTGTGATTGAAAAACAAAATGAAAGATACAGAAGCGAAGCGTGATAAAACACGAAGCGGATGCTTTTCTGAATTTAATGGTACACATACAATGTTCGTCAAAAGGAAATATGCGATTCTTATTTTAATCGAGGCAAGAATCGATACGAATAAACTAATTATTATATTATAAGAGAAATCTTTTGATTTCTCTTACCGATTGAAAAGATACTGAATGAAGATGTTAATGAAATATTAGTTGAAATTTTACCGTTTAAGTGTCCTTTACGAATTAAAATGACTGAATGTCATGTAATTTCTTAGATGTAGAACGATCTTCGTAATTTTTGCTTTAAAAATGAAAATTAAAAGGAAGAAGAAGAGAAAATGAGGAAAATTTAGCCGATGTGGCGACAGATAAACTTATATTACTTTAACAGCTAATAATAACGTAACGAAAGTGTCTTTTACATATTTCGCAACTATTTTTCAAACGTCCAAATGCTGAATCTATATATTTCTGTGTTCTTTATCTAATTATCTAATCACCGACGCACTGTGCTGTTTTTCAACGAAAAAAAAAAAAAATAAATAAAAAAAATAAACTGCACAGCTTTAGAGAAGTATTTACTTTCGTGTATAATTAATATCGTAATATAAAAAAATTAGATTACGATTGCATAAATTGCTCGTATCTATAGAAAGATAAATGTCATCTGTGTAGCGTAATATGTAAGTATCTTCTGTTTTTTTTTCTTTCTCCTCTAATTTTCAATTCACACTCACAGATTAATTTTTCTTCGTGATACAGATTATGTTCAATTTTGATTAAAAATATATTTTGTTCTGCTATAAATTAATCGGAATTGGATAATATTCGTATACGAGCCTTTAAAAGCCTATGTTTGAAATCACGAAAACGGAAATGGATCGAATATAGAGCATGTAATTTGAAATAGTGAAATTTAAAGAGATAATTAATATTAATTAAAATGTGAACGATGTTACATATCAACTGAATATTTTACGATTAATTGCAAAAAACAATTGAAATTATATTTTATTTTATCGGGAAATTATAATGTGTTTATATTTGATCACTGAATATTTATAAATTGCTATATATTAATATTTTTTTTAGAAATATAATATTTCTACAACGCAGGTTTAATACTTCTGATGTAATACTTCTGAAAATGTGGATAAGAATATCGTCGATGAAGAACGAAGGCTAAAGTATATTTTAGCTTCCTGATTTCTTATTAAGTTACTTAATAATCTTTCTTTTTTAATCTGATCTTTTCTCATGTATCACTTACATATAGCTGTAAATTTGTTTTCACTTAGGGCTATATAATAAATATACAAATTTTCTTTTGTATTTTATATTACAACTTTTATTCCTTTTATATTTATTGTTCACAATGTGGTTCAGATTCGAATTCGTTAACACATCCATTATTTTTCATTATTTTTCTCTTTTATCATCTTTTTATCATCTTCTCTCTGTTTAAACAAATTTCTAATAGGTCTCAGTTTAGTAATTGATCGGTGAACAAACAATTTTTTTCTCATTTTTAAACCATTTTAAACCGTCCACTTTTTAAACCATAATTTTTCACTTTTACAGAGTATTACTATACTCGTGAGAAATCTTTGGAAAGTCATTTTTACACTTAGAGGCCAAAACAAATATAAAAGTTTGTACATAAAAATATCGATTGTATATTGCAATCACAGAACGTGAACGAATTATAAAATAATGGAAAATTAACTTTTCAACAAAAAGGAAAAAAAAATTATGAAATATCTTTTATATTCAGCGAACTTGCAATTGGAATGGAAATGTGGTTGAACGACACTACGTAAAAGCTATAAGAGAAAAACTAATAAGATTACGTGTATTTTATGCAGAAGATGTCATTTTTTGTTTACGCTGTGATCTATGAAAAGAATAATACCGATTAATATCGTACGTTCCCAATAAGTTTGAAATTATACGAAGTTATAGGCAAGATAAAATATTATTTTGAATAGTAAATAGCAAATAAAAACGAGAGACTGTATTTTATTTTAGACTATAAATTTAATTTTAAAAATAAATATTTTATTTATTGAAAAAAACCTTTAAAATAATATCAGAAATAATATTTTATATGAAGGATTTTTGAAATTGAAATATATAAAATTTCATTTGAAAATATTTTATTTATTTAAATTCGTTTTTCTTATATATACGTAAAAAGTTGTTGCGTTGATTCATTCGGTAACGCTACTCTATTACAAACATTAATATTAATTATAATTTTATTTATTATTTATTATATTTTACAGAAATAGCAATACTTTTGTGCGATTCGTTTGTTCGATCATATTTTCCAAGATTAAGGTGAAAAAGTGGACGGACGTCATAAGTCGTCGAGAGCTGTTTCGCCTTGATTTCGCAAGTTTCCGCGATTTAAAATGAAATTTAAACGCAGAACGAGTCTCGAGTCTCGATCTGTATGTATATACATTTATTACTACAACTGCTCATGCATTAATTCATAAAATATTTTTCAGTCAACTCGATACGAGATTACGTGACTCATAGTCATCTATGATTAGAATAATACGATAATCGATGAACTTAGCTCGGTTATTGTTAATCTATGCTTTCTAATTGGTAGAAAGAAAACGAATTTAATGTGAATTGTTTCTTGAAATCTTAAAATTACGAATCTAAGATTTGGCATTCGATAATTGATTAATTTAGTTTAGTAATAACGAATGATTTAAACGAACTTAAGTCAACTTATAATTGTATATTTTACGTGAAAATTAAATAAATGTATGACACATTATTATAAATGTTGAATAATTATATTAATACACATTTTATCGTTTCGATTAATTTTTTTTTAATAAATTAGAATTTTATTAAATTTAGAAACAAAAAACAAATATAAATTTAAAATGATCTCTTGAAGTTCATTGAATTATATATAAATAAAAAATGATTGTTGATTTAACTCCGATCTATTAAATTTGATAAATATTATGTATTTTTAAAATTTTTTTTTTTGAATACTTTTACAGTGCAAATAATTAAACAATTGTTCTTCTTTGTTTTTTTTTTAGAATAGCAAAAAATACGGAATAAATGAAAGGTTCGTTTAATTGCAAAATACTTGACATTAAGCGTTATTCGTATCATATTTGATATTATAAGAAAATAAATTTCATTATATTGAATAATCTATACGAATATTAATATGATCTATTGAATAATCTATACGAAATTATATCTTTTTTCTTTTCCAACCAATTATACATATTTATTTTGTTTAATTTGTATTCGATTTAATTGTTTTATTTGTTCGAATTTCTTTAGATTTTCTTGGTACAATTTCTATTTGTTTTATTTATTCAACTATTTCTATTTAATTATATTTTAACTTGGATATTTTATTGAAATTTATCGTTTATTTAAAAAGCAAAATTATTCATATATCAGTTTTGCAATTTCGAATCGTTGAAAGAAAAAAACTGCGAAAAATAGTGAAAATCGAGTTGTTTATGCCTCGCACCGGTAAATCTGACGCAAGTAATTTTTATAAAAAGGAACCTACATTCAGTTGAAACGTGTTTAGGTACTAAAGTAACTGGACCATGAAGGAACAAGACATTTCCCACATACGATTTTTCCCTCATTATTATTCCAATTAAAAATTTTTCTCGTCAAAAAATCGTTCACAGTGGCCAATTCGAATCACGCGGATAAATCAAATTTATTATTTACGATAAATCATATCTTTTTAGGTCGTAAAATTGTAAACAAGAACGTTAAAAGAATCACCATGTTGTTATTATTTAGTTAGTCTATTAATAATTCAGTTTATCTTTAAGGAAATCAATGAAATTATCAAGAAAATTAATTTCTTATGATACAAGACTCACGTTCACAACGTGGACGTGGTATCAAACGAGTTTCTCGAGGAGAATACAAATTAATGACGAAGCGCAAGAGGTTATGTTCTACGCGATACACTACGTTTTCCTCGTTTGCCTCTGTCGAAAACTTGACGCGTAAAAGAGTGAATTAAGCGTTATGTAATTTTTTCATGACAGCGTGAAATATGTAGCGATTTATGACAGTAATTTTTGTATCAGCATTTATCAATGTAGCGTAAAATCCCGCTTGCATTAGGCAATTTTTGATCGATCGATCGATTAAACTCGAATAAATTCGCTGCTGCTTATTTGAACTTATTTTTAAAAAAATCAAAAACTTTTATTACATTAAGGTTTATTAAAAAGTAGATTATTATTTCAATATTTTCAACATTTCGAATTATATTACTATTATATAAAATTTTATTAATATTTTTTATTTATTAAATATTAAATATTTAATATTAAATATTACAATTAATTCTAGTTAAATCTCATCCTATTTGATTCTATAAGATTCATATTTCATTAGAAATATTATAAACAAATAATTTTAGGAAAGATATATTTAGCCGTTGTCTCGATACCAAATCGTATAAATATGAAGAAACAAAGTCGAAGAAGAAAGAAAAGAAAAGACTGAAAACAGGAATTTATAATTGTGGATCCAATATTTTCTCGAAAAAGCTCAAAAAATGAGAAATAAAAAATACAAATTTATTCCGAATAAATTTCGATTAAATGCAAAAATGAAAAATAAATACTATTTCCTGGTAATTTAATAAATAAAAAAAAAAAAAGAACGATATCTTCAAATCATATTTTTACTAAAATATTTCAGTTTTAGCTTATTTCAAATTTTCATCTTTCGTCCATATAACGTTGAGACGATGGATTCAATTAAAGATACGCGATCTTATTGCATGGTCGAATAATAAATCTCGAAAAGACGAGTAAGCAGGCAACGCCCTCGGGAAAAAGGATGGAAAAGTATGGAGGGGCGGAGGGGTGGCCTGATCGGAGACGACAACTAAGCAGGGATGGAACCGAGCGGAGCGAACCGAGGGAGGATCGAGGGAGATCAAAATCGAAGAAAAAGAAGGGGGACACACTGTTGGCTTCAAATCAAGGACCAGACGAACCGGTCTACCCATCCGTGAGATGCGTCTAATTTTTTTTCCCGTCTTCTACCTTTCTCTCTTTTTTTCTTTTTCCATTCTTTTTCTCTCTTTCTCTCTCTATCTCTGCCTTTCTTCTTTTTTCTACTATACAGGGTGTTTCTAAGACAGGTGGTATAAACAGGAAGAGAGTGATTTTACGTATAAAGAATAATAAAGAACGTAAGAATAATAAGTTACGTTCAAGATTTCGCTTTTAAATAAATCAAGTTTGAATATCTCGAGATATTATTCTATCATGTAAAAGTAAATAAAAAGCGCCAATCAAATTTTATCTTCGTTTATTCTCGAGAAAATCGAAATTCAACGTACACATATATAAATATAAGATGAAGAAATAATAAGAATAATTATTTAGAAATCATCATCATCATCATTGTATGTCAATGGATCTTCGATTTTCGAGATATTGCAAAAATATTTTTTATTCCATTTGCCATATATAAAATGTTAACAAAATGTTCGTTCGCGAGGCTTTGAAAATGTAATATATAGAAGTTGATACACAGAAATTGGTTGGTTAAAGCTTATTTATTAAATTATAAGCAATTGAAGTTTGAGTTACACAATCTCGTTTATATCACCCATTCTCCAACTTATTCGTAGGTATAGGTTAGCCTGAAGGCTTCCTTTTTACGCGTCCTCTTCTTTCTGCTTAACGAAATAAGAAAGAAGTAGTATTTTACTTTTTCGTCAACGCTTCTTTTCATCTTACAAACATGCCCGCAGGTGCCTGGTTAGGGACTGTCCAGAAATCTTGCTCGTGAGCTCCGATTTCCTACCGATTACCTTGTCCACTTTCTCTTTCTCTCTCTCTCTCTCTCTC